AGGGAGATATTTTTCTTCTATCAGGTTTGTCACTGTTTACCCTATTTTATTATCCAACTACACTCCGTAGAGTACAAATAACGCCATAGACGAGTACAAATATCACGCGGTATTTGTACTCCAGAGAACCGGTTAGACAGGTTTTCTCGCATCGCGCAAGCGAAGAATTGGATTGAAGTTACGAAAAAACTGATGGCGAACAATTTGAATCATATTTCTGACGACGAAGAGTCGGAATGGCTGGCAAATATAGGTCCTAGTTTATAAGATGAATTGAACGAAGAAAAGCAGCTAGAAAACCAGGTAATTTCTTCATTTATTGAAGAAACATGATAGAAACAGCAACAGGAAAACGCGCCAATTCCTTTCCGCTTCGCGTACTTCTGTCACGCACTCCCCGAAACTCATGTCCGTGAAATTCGTCCGCACTGAAATAATAATTTGGCGTGTTGGATAATGAATAACTTATTCGACGTTATCTCTATTTTCTCTTTTTTTTTTTTTTTTGCGGCACACACCGCTTATAACTCAATCGTACTATGTTAGGTATTCCCCTTAACGACCTTAGACCCCAAAATCACACACACTTCGCTTAGGCCGCCTGTGAACTCATCGAGCTAAATGGCTCGGCCGTGGTAACGGGAAGTTGGGCTTGAATCAATAGGATCATCCCTTCTCAGTCTTCGCTTCTGGTGTGTCCGGAAAGTGAAAGTTTCGAAGGGTGGGTGATGATTTGGTTAAAATGCTCAGAATATGAAATGATAAAACATTTTAGGGTCTTTCTAAGTTTCTTTAATTATATCCGGATTTGTTTAGCATTCCCATTTAAGTTTTCTGAAATGTCTAAATTTCTTTTTTCCAGGCGTAGCGATCCTGACGTTTTAAGCGGAAGTCAACAACAAGCGAAGAGGCCAGTTTACAAAATTTCGTTATTACTGGTAAGTGCGCTCATACGTTTGATAGCATGGATTCATTTAACCGTCTTACAACAAAATGGAACTATTAGTGCTGTATAATCAAAGCTAAACAACAGGAAATGGTGGAGTTGAATTGCGTAGTAGTTGCGGGTCAAGCTCAATTTCTGTTTCTTATCGCCAATCGTCTGTGGACTAGTTGAATGTGATTTTTGTTGGCATGGTGTTTCTAGATAAGTTTGAGCTCATACCTAGTTATATTTTGTCTGTTTTTAACTGTTTGTCGGGCCTCTTTCTCGCTCGGCGATCGCGTGGTGAACTATAGCATTTTCATTTTCGTTTCAAGCGCCTACTTTTAATGCATTTTTTGCCGATCGTCCACAACGAAACGCCCGAAAATCAAAACGGTAACTTTCGTAAACGGTTTCATATGTAGAGTCCGTTCGTAAACGCGTCGGTTTATCTTTTATACTGTTGCTTAAAATTACTCTAGAATTTTGATCAGGGCCTCCGGTTGTGCGCCAACTCAATTCTACCCTTGCTCTGCCACGCCCTCTTTGCCGTTGTCGTCGTGGTTTGCCAAAGGTCCCTTTTTTTGAGCGAATGTGAAACGAAACGTGATACAGAAAGGTAATTTGGCTTGTGTAGAGGAAGAACGATTTGGATCGCAGCGTCTAATTATGCAAATGCAAATTTGACGAACGTAGGATATCAGTTAGTTCTATTTTTGTAAACACGTACCGGCCGAGGTATGCGTTTAATTTAATTTAATAGGCCTTTTTGGCTAAGTGGCGACGTGGTTTGAAATGGTAAACAAGAATTGAAAATGGCTGTGTAAGTATGTGCCGCAGACGACATCTTATGGAAGAAACTCCTTCCTTCGCTGAAACGTTCAAATTCACGGATAATTCAGCCCTGAAATGACTGAAGTACTATAGAAATTGGTGACAATCGAAATGGAGTCTTTGACTGAGATTATAAATAACCTCATGCTGGAAAGAAAACAATCTTGTGAGCACACGATCCATCAAGATCACAAAAATACTTGAATAATGGGCACAGAAGGCGAGCAATTGTCTTACAATAGGAACGTTTTAGCGAATTTATGATTTGAGGTTAGAATGAAAGGTTTTTTTGTTTCGAGATACTCGCATCAACTCTCCACATGACGGGATCTGAAATGGTTTTCACCTTTATCTAGAGTTTCTTGCTCTCCAGCAAAAAACGAAACAAGGGGAGCTATGAAACTAACCCTATTGTACTCTGCTGTGGAACCGCGAGAGGTTTGTTTAGAACCAAGAAAATTATTACCATAGAACAGTGACGTCGCACAGTTTACTACTCCCTTGTGACGTTACGGTTCTCGATCTTTGCTCCTGCTCTTTGACAAAGAGAAAGTCGGCAGCGAGTCGAAGGGCAGGTAGTGTTTTCGCTAAAATGGCCACAATTTGAAATGATTACACTCTTTGTGGTCTTTTTACTTGTTTTTAAATTCTTCTTGATATCTCAAGTGTTCTCTAGATACCTGTTTGCGTTCTCTAAGAGGTTTAAGCGATCCCAACGCGGAAGTTGACCACAAGAGTTAAAGTGCTCAATGAACCGTAAGTATATGCAATTTATTTAACCCGTAAAGCAACATAAAACTAATATTCAAAACTACACTATTATAATATACGGTAATTTGGTTATATCAACTAGGCTGAAATTGTAAATTGGCCACCGTAAGGAGTTAAGAGTGTGTCTCTGTAAAAGTGGTCCGGTCAATTTTGCTTGAGACACAGATTTC